CCGCGCTCTTCTCGCTCGTTCCTCCTCCTCCGTCCCCTGTTTTCTTCCCTCCTTAAATAGCTATTCCCCTCTCACCTCACTCCTCCGAGAATCGTTTGGTCCCAATCAAAGTTTTGTTTTGTTCCTTTTCTCTTTTTCTTTGCTTTGGTTGATACACTCGAGGAATCCTGAGGAAAAATGGCTACTGCTGCAATTGATCGGATCGCTTTCTTCCCTCCCTCCAGCATCTGTCTTCCTTCTCAGCTTCGGAGCTTCAGATCTTCCCGAGTTTCCATGGCCTCCACGATTCGCGCCGCCACTACGTGAGTTCTTTGTTTGTTTTGGAATCATGGGTTCGTTTTATTCTGTCTCGAATGATAGTTCCCTTGATTTTCCTGATCTGGGTTTCTGGTTTGAGCATCGACCATTCTCCGCATTGGGTCTACCGACCCTCTTGTGTTCGTCAACTTTCTACTCAACCACCGTATTTTCATTTGCGTATACAGGCATTTGTATTCACCCATGTTACTGTGTGTATATATAGGTCTACTTGTATAATGTATTAATGGGGAAGATCAAACATAGGCTGCTTTCTGTTGTCATATGATTATTTCTTGAATATATCTTGTTCTTTATAATAGGAATTTGCTTTTGGGTCGTGAAAATGATGCATTTTCTCTTATGCAATATTTGTCAATAAGTTGGTTGCTTGATCTAGCCGAGTATACGTAAGCTTTTCGTTGTCCTTAAATGAAATTTGAAGGGAGCTTTTTCGTCCTCATGCAAGTGGCAATCTTTGTCCCTTTCTGGAAAATTGATGCAAGATTTTCGTGATTTTCTCCGTTTAAACTAGTGATTTCATCGGCTAGATGGAAATTTTTTATTTTTTCCTTTCCATTTACACGCATGGATTGTTTTATATTCTTGAATTTATAATTGGTGGTTGGCCACCATGCAAATTTTTATTCCCATCAATTTTCTGTTCATTAGGCTTACGGCTTTTCCTCTATTGCGTTTCTCTTGAGTTTGCGTGTTGTGTTGGATGATGCATACTTTTATGAGTGTGTGTATTAGGTCAGGCTTGCTTCTTCATTTTTGTTTTCTTTCTTGCCTGCTGTCTGCCGCTGCTTGTGTTGTATTGAAGAGTTTTAGTTGTGCATGCTTGTCTTGTACTGCATGTGTCCCCTTGCTTTCATTTTCTTGAAGGGAATCTCTTTCTTGTCGGGATCTTCTCGTTTAATGTTTTGGGATAATATCTTGTGTCCAAGTTGGTTGTCTGTTGTTGAGGGCATCTTATTTATTCAAGTCTTTGATACAATCAAAGCTTATGTTTGTGGGATCATTTGTAAGATTCTGTACTGCTTGAGGATTGTTTTAGGACTTAGTTTTTTAATCTTTGGATCCATCATTTACTCCTTGCCGTTGTGGTGAAAAGAATGTCATTTTGTTGGTTCTATGGCCATTTACAGATACCCTTCTGGCTATTCTGGTAACAAATATCATATGGTGACACAATCTTGTTGGTCTTGCTTACTTTTTAGTTGATCCTGTGATCACTTACAGGAGCTCATTTGCATTTCAAACCCTTTTGATCATCATTTTAACTTGTTTTTTTTTTTTGTAAAATTCCTTTGGTGCCTTACAGAGAGATTACGAATGGAAAGAAACCGTATATCCCTCCAAGAGAGGTGCATGTCCAAGTGAAACACTCAATGCCACCTCAAAAGTTGGAAATCTTTAAATCCTTGGAAGGATGGGCTGAGCAGAACCTGTTGACCCTTCTAAAACCCGTTGAGAAATCGTGGCAGCCTGACGATTTTCTCCCGGAATCTAAATCAGAAGGGTTCTATGACCAAGTCAAGGAATTGAGGGAAAGGTGCAAGGAACTTCCCGACGATTACTTTGTAGTGCTTGTTGGGGATATGGTCACAGAGGAAGCTCTTCCGAGAAAAGGGTGAAAAGGGTTCTTCGGATTTCTAGAGAGAAGAAAGAAGAAGAAGAAGCAGAGGGAGAGAGAGAGGCTATGGGGATTTGGGAAGGGGAGGAGGGGCTTATGTATAAGTGGAAGAGACTCGGATTTTCCAAATATGACCGTTGGTGGTGCAAAAGTGGAGCCCAGATCGAACTAACGGCTACTTTTGCTTTTTAATATTACAAAAATTTGCAATTTGACGTAGGTGGCCCACTCTTCCGACCTATCAGACGATGTTGAACACCTTGGATGGGGTTAGGGACGAGACTGGTGCAAGCCCTACTTCCTGGGCTATATGGACAAGGGCATGGACTGCTGAAGAGAACAGGCATGGGGATCTTCTTAACAAGTATCTGTATCTGTCTGGACGAGTTGACATGAAGCAGATTGAAAGGACAATCCAGTACCTGATTGGTTCTGGAATGGTAAGTTTACAAGTTCCTCTGATTTTCCTTTTTCTTGTCCTTCATTTGAAGTTCTCTGGCGAAAATCTGATCTGTGAATAATGGGTGATCGAGGATGAGATACATCAATCTGATGCTTGGCCATTTTGATTGGCTTTGTCGTTTTTTCTTGTCTTTGTTTCTCAGGATCCAAAAACTGAAAACAACCCATACCTGGGTTTTATATATACGTCATTCCAAGAAAGGGCAACATTCATATCCCATGGAAACACAGCCAGACTGGCAAAGGAGCATGGTGACTTGAAGCTTGCACAGATATGTGGCATCATTGCGGCCGATGAGAAGCGCCATGAGACTGCCTACACCAAGATTGTGGAGAAACTCTTTGAGATTGACCCTGATGGCACGATCATGGGCTTGGCTGACATGATGAAGAAAAAGATCTCGATGCCTGCTCATTTAATGTATGATGGCCGTGATGATAACCTTTTTGAGCACTTCTCATCCGTGGCCCAGAGGCTAGGTGTCTACACTGCCAAGGACTATGCTGATATATTGGAATTTCTTGTGAACCGGTGGAATCTGGAGGATTTGTCCGGCCTTTCTGGCGAAGGGCAAAGGGCCCAGGTAACAACACTTCCATGAAACTTAGTACTCTCCTACTGAAACCTTAGTTCTATATGAGTTTGTTTTAACCGTCTTTGTCAGAAAGCTCCCTTTTCATTAGTCATGGCTGACATTGGAGAGTGCTCAAGTAGATTTTGTCATGAACAAACTAGCCTTGCTAGTTGACATAAATTCACTTCCAAGCCGTGGAGGTCTTTCTCGGGTTTATTTTGTTTCTTGACAGTGTCATTCTCTATGCATTCGGAGATGAGTAGGCATTTATGCTGGAATCAGGACCCTCAGTTCGAGCTGTGAGCCTGTGATTGTTATGTTAACCACCGACTTCTTCTGCTCGTCTCAACAGGACTTTGTCTGTGGACTGCCTGCAAGGATCCGCAGATTGGAAGAGAGGGCTCAAGGAAGAGCCAAAGAAGCCACAAGAAACGTGCCCTTCAGCTGGATTTTTGACCGGGAGGTCTGCGTTTAAAACTGCCATGGAAGGAGAGGCTAAAGTGACGTATGTAGATAACTTTTGTGTTAGGTTTGTCTGCTGAGACCAGAAGCATGCGTTGTGTGTTTTAGTGATATGTCTGTTTACCAAAAGAAGTAGACTTCCTCCTCTCTAAGAGCTGTCTTTTATCTTACAATTTTTAAAAAATAATAGTAATATGCCCTCTGGGTTTTGCATTTTGTTGCTTCTGTCGAAATAGGCTGTGATCAGATCTCTGGTTTATCGTGATTTCAAAGGCACTGAACAAATCAATATATATAATATATTCATCAACATGGATATAGAGAACACCTCAGAAACAACTGAACAAATCAAAACAATTCCGGAAACAAGATCAAACCGACATTTGATTCAAAACCCCACAAGAACTCAAGATATTCAGAAGTTTAACATTTCTCATCAGAAGAGAAATGGTTTAAACTTGGAAGGGCCACGGCCAGTCCTTGGGGTTCTCCTCGTTTTGTACCTTACCCGTCCTCCTCATGGCGACGCCACCACTGTCACCCCCATCAACGTAAGCATAGTACTTGAGGAAGAAGGCCAGAACGAGAACAACCCACTCGAGGCAAAAGATCAGAATGCACAACCCACCAGCCATTTTCAGGATCACGGCCGCATCTTCCTCCCGGACGTAAGACTTGAGGCTACCGAGGAAGTTCGACGTGTTGGTGTAGATCAGAACTGAGACAGAGCCTTGGAATATGGCCGTGAGGACGGTGGCCACCATGTGAGCCGCGTACCAGCGGTTTCTACCGCAGGAGGCGGCGGCACAGCCGGAGACGGCGCCTGCAATCGTGGTTGCGTGGAGGAGGATGAGGAGGAAACCGCATATGGAGGGGATGAGACGCAGAGAGAGAGTTAGGAAGATGCAGCTTGACGCTGCGCCGAGGAGAATGTAGTTGGAGAAGAGGAAGATCTTGTGGGTATGGTAGTGAGATTCCTGGATCGTTTGTTGCTGATGGGGGATCAAACCCATGGTTTTTGAGATTAGGGTTTTGGAGAACTTGGGATTTACGGAAGAGTGTTCTTCAGGTTTCTACAGATCAGAAGATGCAAAGGGAGAGAGAGAGAGATCTCGTGGGTTGATTTGGATTTGGGGATCTGGGAAGCGCATAAGTAGAGGAGAGGGAAAGACCCAAACGGTCAGATTTTCCAAATATGACCGTTGGAGTTGCGAAGTGGAGCCCATATGTGTAACGGCAACTTTTGCTTTTCTTTTATTTTTCTTACATGTTTTAAAAACATGTAACATGTTTTCGTATGTTTTTAAATATTTCTAAAATATATAATATACCTCTTTAAATAGTTTCTTAGAGAAATGCAATAATTACCTCTTTGTAAATTATTCTTTTAAAAAAAATCAAAGCCGTAGTTTACCAAAATAATCGACGGAATATGTATAATATCTCAATCATGTGGACGAAAAGAATATAAAATCACACACAGATGAAGGAAGAAATATTAATTGGGAAAGACGTATGAAAAATTAGATCCTTTGAACGAGGTGGCCCAGTGGGCCATGCCCAATGTTTTGTCCGTTGCGATGACAGAAACGGTTATATGTAAATAGTAAAATTTTCAAAAATATTTTTAGTATTTTTTTTGTTATATTTTATTCAATTCGTTTTTCTATTTTTTCGATTTTTAAAAAATTTTAAGGACTCAAATTTTTATAGTACAATTTCCTTCATTGTGATTCCACACGTGTAAGCAGGTTCAAGGCTACAAGCTCGTATCGGTTATTTCACCGGTTAAAGTTTCATTTTCCATGGCCCGAACCGGGAGAAATTGTTATTCCGGTATGGTAAATGTTGAACCGTGGCATAACCACGTAAAATTCTTAAAAATACAAATATACCCCTAAGTTTTCACATTATTTACTATATCGCCATTAGGTTACTTTCATTTTCTCGGTCTCGGACTGCTCGAGTTTCGTAAATAGACAAACACCCTCTATGCTCCCCTCACTCCTCGCACGACACGGTCTCCCCTCGCCGTCGTCCATCGCGCTCAGCTCACAGGTTCAGGTTCAGGTTCGTATCTCTCGCTCTTGGTGGGTTAGGGTTTCGGTTTTGTTAGGGCGTGTGTTGGCTTTGATCGGAAAGTTATTCTCTGCATTTTCAGCTTCGTAGAACAACCCTTTTCTGATCCGTGTTCTTTTCTAAGATTTCCGCGATTAATGTCTCTGGTAGTTCTTGATCAAGTTCCATTTGCAATGGTTGTTTCTAGCTTCGTAATTGATTTATATGAATTCGGGTTTTAGTTTGAGGTGCTGCATAAGAGGGTGTTTTTTGGCTTTCCAATTCGAATGTTGGTTATGTATTCTGGTATTCCATATTCTTTGCTAACTCGCATGCTCTTTTCTTGATTGCAGGGCAGCATCGTGAAGATAAGGGTTTAGAGAGATATGTGGAGATCAATTGTGTCGAGATCGCGAAATGTATCGAGGAGTCTCAGCGGAATTCGGACCTCAAAGGCTCCTTCATCTGTCTCTGTGGCTGAATCTGATCCTCAATCAATCCAGAGATCCTCATCTCTAGTTGCTTTTGCTCGAAACATCAGTTTCTTCTCTATGAATGCTGCTGAAGAGAATCCTATTTCACCCGGCCCCGAGATTGCTTTGGTCGAATCAGATGTCTCTCCAGGAAGGGATGTTCATGGAGAATTGGATGCTTCCGATCTGGGTTTTGCCGAAAGTGACGGTGCTGATGGTCTTATCGCCGAAGCCACTGTCGATGCTGATGGAGATGGTGATGGTGATGTTGGGGGAGGAAATGTTGATGATTGGATAGATGAGGTGTACGAGGTTGATGTCGAAAAGTTAGAGTCTGTGCTGTCTTTGTTACGGAGTGATGAACAGTCTTTAGAGTTCTGTCTTAAGGCCATTGATGTTGATTTGCATGTAGATTTTGTGATCAGGGTATTGGAGTCCCCAGGAATTTCAGGTGGGAACTTGATTAGGTTCTTCAAGTGGGCAATGGGTAGAAAAGGGTTTACCGTTACTACTACTGTTGTGGAAGCTCTTGTTCTGCAAATTTCGGGTGAAACCAGAAGGATGGATGCTTATAGTTTGTGGGATTTGATCAGGGAGATAGGCGAAAAGGAGAGCAGTGTTCTGAATTTGGGGATAATGAATGAGTTGATAGCTGCGTTAGGGAAGCTTAATAAACCAAAAGCTGCTTTTGATGTGTTTAGTAAAATAGAAGAGTTTGGGTTCAGTCCAGATGGAAAGACTTACTACCTGACACTGGAAGCCCTTTGCAAGCGCTCCTTTACGGAATGGGCATGTTCGGTTTGCGAGAAGATGATTGCGGTAGGTATTTTACCAGAGAGCAGTAGGGAGGTTGGTAACATCATAACTTTGTTGTGTAAGGAAGGAAAAGCCATAGAAGCTCAATCGGTTTACATGCTGGCCAAGACAAAAGACAAGTACCCGCCTCGTAAATCTACCGTTACACTGATAAATTCTCTCTGCAAAAACGATGAGACTGTGCCATTAGCTCAACAGATGTTGGGTGATCTCACCGGAGAAGACAGAAGGCAGGGAATCAAGCCGTTTTCTGACGTAATACGAGGTTTATGCAGGACGAAAAACGTGAGAGACTCAAAAGCCTTGCTTCTGGATATGATCTCGAGAGGGCCACCTCCCGGGAACGCGGTCTTCAACTCGATAATCAACGCATGTTCAAAAGCTGGAGAACTGAACGAAGCGAGAGAGATGATCAAGTTGATGGAAAGTCGGGGATTGAAACCGGATTTGTACGCATACACAGTCATCATCAGCGGTTATACGAAAGCGGGGCTGATGGATGAAGCATGTGAAGTTCTTGCAGAAGCCAAAAGGAAGCATAAGAAGCTAACTCCGGTAACTTATCATACACTAGTGCGTGGGTATTGCAAGATGGAGGAATACGACAAGGCTATGAAACTGTTGTCTGAAATGGACCGTTTCGGCGTGAAGCCCAATGCGGATGAGTACGGTAAGCTGATACAGTCGCTTTGCCTCAAGGCCCTGGATTGGAAGACAGCCGAAAAGCTGGCCGAGGAGTTGAAGGAGAAGGGTTTGTATCTGAATGCTATTACTCGGGGTCTGATACATGCGGTGAAAGAGCTGGAATCCGAAGCCTTAAAGAATGCGGACGAGAAATTACTAGCCGAAGCATAGTTTTTTTATTCCTTTTTGTAATCGCATCATGGAGGTGAAACGACATCGTATGATGTGCTGTACAAAGACCATGGCTCCTCCTAATAAGATTTCCTTTTTTGCATTTTGCCAGGATTCGATTTGATTGGTTCAATTATTTCGATTTTATATCCAATTTGGTTTATTTTAGGTTTATCTTGATTATTTTTTATTTTTATTGATAAAAATATTCATTTCCCAAAAAAAATTCGATTTGAATTTAGATCGGTTCAGTTATATTTATATATTATTTGATTCAGAATAATCGTCCATGATTTAAATGTTATTTATGTTATTAAAAATGATTGAGTGTAACTAACTATCAGAGCTAACCGTGAAAAATACAAGGTGTCAAAAACTAATTGATACGGTCCAACGGGACGACGACGTCTGTCACGAGTCGTGCTCCGTCGCCGCAGCTAGCTAGTCACTGGCCCTGAGATTTTAGCGACGCAACTCCAAGATCCATTGTTCGAAATTAACCCATTACTCTCTCTCTCTCTCTCTCTCTCTCTCTCTCTCTCTCTCTCTCTCTCTCTGTGTTACTGTTATCTTGCGTCTTTGATGAGTACGGTGTTGTCTGATCTCCGACCGCCGGAGTAATGTCTTTGGAGTGCGGACGGTTCTCCTCGAAAGGCTAGGGTTTTCGGGTTTCTGTTCAATCGAGCTGTTGGAATTGTTGGGTTTCCGTGATTCTTCCGGTATTTCAGCTTCTTTTTATTCTCTTTTTAAACACTCCGGATTCTGCTTTCGAAGCTGGCGAAGCAGTATTGGAACGTTGAGGGTTTCTGTTCTGTCGCAATCGCCATGTTTTCGTCGGTTTTTAAGCTCTTTTTGATCTCTGCAATGGAAGTTCGAGTTTCTGAGGCTCTTCAAAGATTCTTGAATTCGAATATTTCAACTCGATTTCGGTGGTTTGAAAGTGTTTCTGATACTCGTATGATTAGCTTTTGCGAAGAAGTTTACTGCTTTTCCGTGTATTTGATGCTTCTAGGTGACATTTTTGTTGAGAATTTAGGGTTTTCTATTTCAGGGGTTGAGGAATGTTCTATTCACAGTTCATATTAGCTAAGAAAGGGCCACTGGGGACAATATGGATCGCAGCCCATTTGGAGAGGAAGCTCCGAAAGAATCAGGTTGCCGACACAGACATCGGAGTTTCTGTTGGTGAGTATTTACTATCTAAATTCGTACTGTTATGTATATATGTCAGTATTGAATTCCTGTTACCGGCTATTGAGCCATTTCTGATCCATGTGAACTGGAATTGCGTTTGATAGATGTTTGTTGGTATGCCAACATTAGCATTTGATATGATTTCGCTTTACAGAATTTAACACATGCTGATACCTTTTGAAATTTTATGGAGGAGATTAATTCTTTAGGATGAATTATCATCTGCGACTAGAGGTGGAAACATGAAAATAGGTTCTTAGGATGGAATTTATTGTGCAATTATAGGAAGTAATATTGCGGTGTTCACGCAATCTCTCATACGTAAACTGGATGATCCGCCACTTGGCTAAATTTTTAAGTGGGCATCGTCTACCATTCTATTTTTAGACTTGTATCTTCGTTTCTATGCCAAAGAATGTTTAGGTTTTTAGATGTCAACCAACTAACTGAAAGTATGATTACAATGCCGAGTGTATTTCCCATATTTATGCTCGTGTAATCAGACTTATTATTGAAACATGGGTGTGTTTATTGATGTATTGGTTTCAGCTATGCATGCTATGCCTCCTTATACCTCTTTCATGTTCTCACTAACCGAGGAGGCAAACATTATTTTCGTTCCAATCTATAGTTGCCATCCCCCGTCATAATAATTTTCTGTATTCATGTCCTCCAACTGATTGTTTTTCTTTTCTGGGCAGATTCTATTCTCTTTCCTGAAGCTCCTATTGCATTGCGGTTGTCTAGCCATCTTCTGCTTGGTGTGGTGAGGATCTACTCGAAAAAGGTAAATTACCTTTTCGACGATTGCAGTGAGGCATTGCTTAAGGTAAAACAAGCTTTTCGCTCCACTGTCGTTGATCTACCTCCAGAAGAATCCAAAGCCCCGTATCATTCTATTACTTTGCCGGAGACATTTGATCTTGATGATTTTGAGCTTCCGGACAGTGAAATCTTTCAGGGGTTAGTTTTTTGAATACTCATGTTCTTCAGTGTTCATCAGTTGAATATTTATGAAATCTCTTACACATTGCGTTGGCTCTTAGACATTTAAGAGAGCTCCATTTCAATTTTCCCTCTTTACTGTCCGAGTTCTGATATCCGTATTCTGATGCTTAGACCCATTTCTCACCATACGTTTGTCAAGCAGAAATTATGTAGATCATCATGTTAGTACAAGAGAGCAGATCACCCTTCAGGATACCATGGATGGTGTTGTGTACTTGACATCACAATTTGGATTAGATGGTCAGTGAGTGTTCATGGTGCTCCCTTTTCAGTGTATTGATAGTGTTGCCTGAAATAACACGCTCTTTCCTTTTTACACCTTTGTAGAGCGGTTTGGTGATGGTGACACTTCTCAAGTTGGTTTGGATCTTGATGAGGTGATTCCTTTCTTCGTTCGAGACATTTGGACAGGAAATAGAATAGCCTCTCGGTTCACCATGTTTAGTATACGAAAAGAATCTGGCGGTAAATTTTAGTTTCCATCTTGTTTTAGCTTTTCACAGCTGCTGCAAAATCTGATGGGTATCAAGGTCTGAAGTCATGTGATAAAAATAAAAAGTTCAGAACTCGCTGACAGCAAAAAGGTTGTAAAAATGAATTTGATTAGTGGCTGGTCACAATTTTGGGTCTATTTATAAAGAAATTTGAGGAAAGTGTACGCCTTTTGGAGATATAAAAATGAAGGGAATTGGAAATGCTTTAAGGCTATATTTACAACTATCTTTCACTGGGAAACATGTCCATGTTAGAGTTATTACGTCACATATTAACACTTCAGAATCAGGGGGTTCCTTATATGATGGTGTCAGGTTGGTTCCATCTTGTAGTGTCAGAATTCCACCAATTTGTAGTATCAGAATGGCATAGGTGTTTCCAAGGGAAATTTTGTTATTAAGCTCTTAGTGTAAGGGGCTTGTACAATACAAACAGCCCTATTAGGATGATTTAATGTTATATATATAGAGTAGAGATAGTTTTGGAGAAAGGAAGCTGTAATTAGCCCAAAATAATTACTCGTAGCTGCCCTTCACTTCCCTTGAAGTTTCATATCTTTTGCTTTCATATTGATTCTCTGATATATATAATATATATGTCATGGATGTATGGTTTATTTTCCTTACTGCCATGTTTTGCAGGAAGTATTTCATGGTAAGGATGTTGCTACTGCTGAGGATGTGGGAGTTTCAGGGTCAGCCTTTTGTATTTGTCATCTATACCATACCTTTTATTCCCCCCTTTCTCTTTTTTGTTTTTATAGCTATTAGCGAGGCAGATTTTATAGTTGAATGTAAAATAAGAGATATTTGTCATTGGATGCTTTAACGTTTGCTTTAAGCTATGTAATCCTGAGTTTTATTACCTTTTCTTAGTGTATGCAAAAGCCAAGTTTATATCAAGAGCTTTATGGCTTAGAATCGTATCCAGTCCTTGGATGTGATTCTGTATTATGCTAACGTGCCATTATCGACCAAAATTTTAACTTGAGACACATTGTATTTGATGACAGTGCTGATCTCGATGCTTGTTTGGATGCTGCAACACCTGAGATAAAGGATTCAGCGCTGGGAGCTGATGAATCCATGCCACAGAATCGTAACGACGATCAGGTGCTTACCATTTGTAGCATCATCCATGCGGGTGGAACAAGTTATGTTTAACGTTGATCTTGGACTGGCCACCTTATTATTTATTTCTTGTTAGGTTGGAGATCTTACCATGCGCAATGAGTTACATGAATATGCTCAAGCTCCACAAACTCCTGGATTAGTTGAGGTGCCAAACCTGTCTAGTGCCAGAGAGGAGCCGGCATACGATGATCCCATGGAAGTAGAAGATCAGAATGTGTCAGGTGCTGCAAAAGATGCTAGGAAGGCATCCAGGCAGCTAGATGTTTGTCAGATGCATAAAAGTGCAGAGGAGGAAGACCTATCTTCTGAACATAACATTGGTCTGAAATCAGATGTGAATATGCTACCTGATGAGTGTAGTGACCCAGACAAGCAGATTGGGTGTCAGGGAGAATCAACAGCCACTCTCATGGCAAGGGATAAATCACAGATAGACAGAGAATCCAATGAACAAAATGATCCAGAGATGGCAGAGCACATACGTGCTGAATCTCCTTGTTGTTCTCGCATCACCACCGAGATAGAGGATCCGGGTCAAGTAATGACTGTGCCAGGAGCCGAGAAGGATAATGTTATCACAGAGAAGTCAGAAACCGGGCATCAGTCATCTCAGGAACCAAAAGATCTTGGAGTAGAGATGCGAGGTCTGTTATATTCTTGTTGACTGAATTAAGGCTGAATCCAAAGTCCAAGCCTTCCTCCTTCGCCGGTTTAGTTTTGCTGATCTTTACCTTTTCTGCTAGGGGAATGTGGCAACACGGCTGAGGCTAATAAGGAAACAAACTCTAGTTTGCTAGGCGATGGGCAGGCTGATAAACAGTTGGGAGATATGACTGGATCTGCTAATTCTGATTTGCCTGCTCCTGAAAAGGTACTATCTGTACCTGATGGACTTGCTGTCAAGGAAAATGATTTCATGATCGAATGTACGCCAGACCGAGAGGATGCAGACACTACTAAAGAAGATCCTGGAACTAAAAACATTATTGGGAGCAAACGTACTTTCACTGAGAGCACCTTAACTGCAGAAAGTTTGAACTCTGTTGAGTCAGTTGGACTTATCAGCTCCAGGAAAACTGCAGATTCTGTTCCTGATGACGATGATTTGTTATCTTCTATTTTAGGTATGTGTTTCTGTTGCCATCTCTGTTTTTTTTCCCATGTTATCACTCTAAATGGGCTTCTGAGCATTCATACAAAGTTCACCACTTTGAGCTCAGTTTTTAAACAAATGTCTTTCAATTGCATTAGTTGGGAAGTCATCCTTTCTAAAGATGAAGTCCACCCCTGTGCTTGAAGTAGCATCTTCAAACAAACGATTGTGGTCTGCGCCCCGTTCTGCCTCAAAGAGGAAGGTTCTTATGGATGACCCTATGGTCTTGCACGGCGAGTATGTCTGCTTCAATGTTTAAGCTTACATATGTACTTTCTATGCTCAATGCTATTCTTGCCATGTTGTGCTTTACTCTCAGGTTCAAGACAATGATAGACATCAGAATATTTTATAAAAAAATTATCGATGCAAATCTTTTCCCCTTTTCTGAAAATCAAGTTTCGTCTTTTTTTTGGGGCTTAGATTTGTAATTTTCTTATTTCCAGTTGCATCCAATCCAGTAAAGTGTTGGTTTTGTTGTTGTTTTTTCCTTGGATTCTGATCTTGCCTATTCTCATTAGTGTTATACGTCAACAATTGATGAACACTGAAGATATACGCCGTGTACGAAAGAAAGCACCGTGCACCCATGCCGAAATCTTAATACTTCATAGGCAGTTTTTGGGGGATGGACTCTTTAAGGAGCCAATATTCACTGGTAAGTTGGTGATGCTAAAAGTACGTTGTCCTCTGCTTCTCAAAATTTTTTCTTTCAAACAAATGTTGCTGTACAGTTCAGGCTTTTAATGATAGATCTGATGTGTCATATTCCCTGGGTTCTTTCTGTGTTCTGTAATGTGGCTACATGTGTTTTTCATATACTTTCTTGGCCAACATTTTGCTTTATTTGTTACATTATAAGTTTCCCTGGGTGGAGTGCATAATAAACCCCTCCAATTCTGATACTTTGTTTATATATTTCATCATTTAGTTACTATTTTTTGTTCATGCCAAGTACAGCCACACTGGTAATACTTTTCAATGTTTTTCAGGTTTGTCAATGGAACTTGCATCTCTGCACAATGAGCCATATGATCTGAGAGGAATCAGGGTTATCGAAAATGATGACCCTCATGCTTCTACTGGAGTGGTGGAAGATGATGAGTGTTCTGTTAGGCCTGATATTGTGGAAGAAGATAGAATTGTAGAAAGCTCTGACCCAACAATTTCCAGAAATGATTCTGGGGAGCAACCTGCTGAAGGTCATACTTATGAGGACCCGCAAAATAAAGATCTACAGGAGGAGATGAGAGCTGATAATGATCTTGTCAGGGATAAATTGGAGGTGGAAGTTAACAGAGAGGACAATGGGGCTGCTGATGAAGTAAATCGTTCAGTTAGTCATGGAACTTGTGAAACATCAACGGGTGAAAAAATCGATAGTGCAGAGAATTTACATTTAGATGGATCCCATGAAAATCACGAGGAAGTGCTGAATGTAGAGAACATGGTTGTGAGTGAGTTGGACTTGAAAGCTGAAGATGAACTTTTACAGGATGAAACAAAGATGGATGTATCAGCTGGTGTTAATGTAACTGAATTCATGGAAGCAGGTGGTTCTAGTAGCCCAGCCATGGAAAATGACAGTGATAAAGTTGGGGATGCAAATAATGATGGGGTCCAAATTGCAGAGATAGAGTCTGATAACAAAGATCCAACATTCAATGAGAAATTTAACGAGGAAACTGATATGCAAAGTGCAGCAGGTTTAGGAACTGCTTCTCGAGATGGTCTTACAGGAGATAACTCTGTAAGTACCTTTTGGCTTATCTTATTTTATATTCAAGTATGAGTAGTTATTTACGGTTTGTTTTCATTTTTTTGCTTCTAATCAGTTACATCGTGTTTAAAAAATTTTGTAGTTTTTTTAGAGCCTCAAGATATCTCCCTGACTTTAATCGTGTCCTTGTTTACTTTTATGCAGCAGGAGATGGAAACCACTGGATTCGAACATGATACAGGTCCTAAACCCTGTCTGATTTCGTATTTCGTATTTTAAACTCTTATCCAATGTTTTGGGAGAGCCAGAGAAAAGCGGCTGGGAATTCGTAGGGCTGTATGATCTGGTCATAGCCTGGTTAAAGCTTTGAAAAACCAGAGCCAAGTTTTGTTGGAAACTTTTTAGATGTGAGATTGTTACTTGATGAGGCGTTATTTGAAGATTAGAAGTGTTTCGAAGTCCGAATCTTTAGACCTGTATATTGTCCCAACTTCTGCTTATTCATTCATTTGATTCTGCCCCTTCAGGATTCTTGAACGTCGATGATGATGATGATGAGGATGGTGAAAATGATGATGATGATGGCATGCAATATGATGACGAGACTCGTGTTCATGAAAATAGTGGATGGTCTTCTCGTACCAGGTCTGCATTTTTTACTTGTCTTCTTGTCTGCCATCGGATACGATCACTGCTGTACGCTGTGTGTTATGAACGTTGGATGATGATTCCCTTTTTTTTCCTTATAGGGCCGTGGCCAAGTACCTGCAGACTTTATTCGATAAAGAAACTGAGAGTGGAAAGAACGTTGTTGTGGTGGAGAATCTTTTAGCCGGAAAAACACGTAAAGAAGCTTCGCGGATGTTTTTCGAAACACTGGTACGTCTTTATAAGGAATTACAATAACATTAAACATTCTCCATGAAAATCAACTTTTAAAGTAGCCGACGGAAATGTCTCTCCATAGTAACTTTTGCAGCTGAAGTTAACAAAGAAACAGGACAGGGTATGAACTCCCTCTGTGGATTAATGGTGCTTTTCCTTAAAGTTCCGATTTTTATTTACAAATCTCTGAAAAGTTTGGGCCTTTTCCTCGGTTAATGGCTCAAAAAACATGGGTTTCCAAAATTTCTTGCAATGCTAGGCATGAGCATGTAAAAGAAATCTTTACTTGTAAGCATATTTCATCATCACTTGTACACCTATGCATCTGTTAGCTACTCTTACCATAAAAAAAACAGTACAAAAAAAGAGAGAGCAAATCCTCAATCTTTTTTCCGATCTTCCATGTCTGATCAAACCGGTTTTGGAATATATATATATATATATATATATATAT